ATTTATCCCTTGTTTTGAAAGATCCTTTATATACTTTCTCCTTTGAATGTGTGTGTGTGTGTGTGTGTGTGTGTGTGTGTGTGTGTGTGTGTATACTATTGTCTTTGTGCTGTGCTTCCCTGCCTTGACAACCTACATAGATATAGTACTCACCTTTGTTACTTCCTTTCCCATTTGATCTTTTTTTTTAATGTTGAATGTGGAACTTCACCCCTTGGTCACATGTCATTCTATCATCTATCCTTCTTCCCCCCTTTTTTCTTTCAAGCTCTTTAATTCTCCAAAGTTCTCACACACTATATGACACTCACTTTCCCCCACCACTGAGATGGGGAGACATCAATATCCCACTCTCTCTAATATACAGGTCATCCAGACAAAAACCAAACAGAGAAATCCTGGGACTAACTGATGTTATAAACCAAGGGGCCTAACAGGTATTTACAGAATATTTCATCCAAACAAAAAGAAAATATAGATTCTTATGAGCATCTCATAGAACTTTTCCCAAAATTTGCCACTTAAACAGATATAAAACAAGTCTCAACAGACATCTACTGAAGTATGAGTAAAAGGGAAAACATGATGCAATCTCCACTAGACATGACTGTGCTCATTTATACAACTGAATGCAAGTTAATTGAGAAATAGTTATATGCAAATATTCCGGGAAAAGTTATAAATATCAGCACAGTCATGGATAGAATTCAGAACAGAACCTTGTTCCTAGAAGACAGGTTCATAACCATTCCTCATTAATTAAAGCACTTGTCCTTTTGTTTGGTTTTTCACATTTATTTTGATTTTGATTTATATGTGTGTGCACGTGTCTGCTTAAGTGTGTATCCCATCTGTGCTGGTGCTGAGGGAGCCAGAAAAGGGTGTCAAATCTCCTGGAATGGTGTTTACAGGTAATTTAGGGTCTCATGTGATTTCTGAGAATTCAATGTGGTGATATTGTGTTCCTCAAAATATTGTACACCCTAATAAATTTATCTGGGGTCAGAGAACAGAACAGCCACTGGATAGACATAGAGGCCAGAAAATGGTGGCACTCACACCTTTAATCCTAGCATTCCAAAGGCAGAGCTCTGTCTGGATCTCCGTGAGTTCAAAGCCACACTGGAAACAGCCAGGTATGGTGACATGCCTTTAATCCCAGGGAGTGATGGCAGAAAGCAGAAAGGTATACAAGGCATGAAAACCAGGAACTAGAAGCTTTTGGCTGGTTAAGCTTTTAGACTTTTAGCAGCAGTTCAGCTGAGATCCATTTGAATGAGAACTCAGAGGCTTCCAGTCTGAGGAAACAGGATCAGCTGAGGAACTGGCAAGGTGAGGAAGGTGTGGCTTGTTATGCTTCTCTGATCTCCCAGCATTCACCCCAATGTCTGGCTCTGGGTTTGTTTTTATTAATAAGACCTTTTAAGAATCATGTTACAATTCAACTCTGGTCTTATGGAAGAGCATCACTCTAAACTACTATCTCACCTCCCAGACCCTTTCGTTTAAATACCACACATGCCAGGAGGCTTTCTCAGTGTTAAAGTTTGAAAGTATATCAGAATGACCTACATGTGTTGGTTTGACTAAGAAATGTCACCCATAGGCTTGGGCATTTGAATATTTGATACTCAGGTGGTTGTGTTGTTTGGAGAATCTTGGGAAATACAACTTTGCTGAAGGAAGTTTGTCACTCAGGGTAAGTTTTTGAGGGTTCATAGTCTCACCCCACTTCCAGTTTTGCTTATTTTAATTTTTTACTCTGTTTAGAACATGTGGCTTAAGAGGTTGTCTCTCAGCTTTCTGGTCCTGCTGGTTGCCTGCAGCTTGTTGCCTTCTTTCCAGTCATGATGGACTCTGATCTCTATAGACCTGGACACACAAAATTACCTATATTATCTGCCTTTGGTCATGGTATTTTATTATAAAAATACAAAAGTAATTACTAAGGAAGTTAATACCAAAAATGGGGTGGTTGTTGTGAAAAAAAAAAAACTGATGATTGTGGTGAGATTGGAAGATCTGGTAATTTGGTTGAGCGCTATAAGCAGAGGTGAATGGAGCATTTTAGTAGTAGTCTAGGAGAGCTCAGAGCTGGGTGTATGTGCTTCTTTAAGCTATCTATGAGAGTGACTGATATAGTCACTCATTCCAAAGTTCTAAGAGTCTTCAGTGCCAATGTGAGGTCATGCAGCTCTGCATGTCACAATCTGAAACACGTATCAGTGAATGATTCACAGCTATCTAATGTTACTTTCTCTATTGGCTTTCCTATTCCTGCAGTTTATGAAAGGAGATATTGCCAATACATGAAACTAAATGGTGTTGAAATTTTTATTACAGTGTAGTAACACTATGAAATAAAATATGTCATTGTGGGGCACTGATCTTAACTGGCCTTTTGCCTCAAGAAGATTAAAATCTTGTGTCACTACCCATAACAACCTAATAAGTGATAGAAATCAGTACAGTTATTTCCGGGCCCTCATGTATCTGTGTCAAAGATGTAATGATCAGGCTGGAATCCCATAAGCTGCTTCACCAGATAACTTCACAGCTGCAACCTAGCAAGTGCTCTGTGCAATGGAATCAGGCTCTATTAAACAAATGGTTCAACTCACATTATCTTCCACCTCATTACCATGTGACTTTTAGAAACCCAAATACTTCCACTATTTCTGACTTCCACTTGGCCATTCACATCTGTGCTGCCCACTCCATGCTACCAGCTTTCTGAGGTAATTTTTCATTTTATCTATCCCAAAGATTTCAGTCTTGACCCTCACTATCTTTACTCTCTCTCACAAAGTCCAGAAATCACTGTTTCTGCCTTCTTCTGCTTGCCCAGATTCTGCCTCCATTTCAAACATCTCAATTAATAATAGGCCATGTGTCCTCTATGACAAGCAACCTCAAAAGCCTTGGTTTTCAACTTCCATGTACTTCAAGAACTTGTGAAAATAATGAATGACCTGGTCCCTTAAGTTCAGACACCTGGGCCATGTCTCATGACTCTATTGTCACTGCCCTTTTGTACTGTGGGGGCCAGAGCCAGGTGGATCTCTGTGAGTTTGAGGCGAGCCTGGTCCACAGAGCGAGATCCAGGACAGGCACCAAAAGTACACAGAGGAACCCTGTCTCAAACAAACAGAACAGAACAAAACAAACAAACAAAAAAAAATGAGAGAGAGAGAAAAGAAAAAGAACACTTACAAGTAAATACATAAGGAATAAAGGGTATACTGTGGGACTCACTTTGTCACACCATGGCTTCCATGCTGAGACTTTTTTCTTGTTCTGTTTTTGTATGTTAGTTTTTGTTTTTTGGTTACTTTTTTAAAAAATTAAATTAATTTTTTTTTGGTGAGGATAGTTGCAAGGGCAGAGGACAGCTATGATGGGATGGGGAGATGAGTGGGATCAGGATGCATGAAGTGAAATCCACAAAGAATCAAGTTTAAAAAGTCTAAAAAGAAAGTCCTATATTCTATGTAAAACAGCACAGGCTTGTCAAGATTCAACAATTGAGGATGTTTCTTTTACTGCCAACTTCACATCCTTTACAGGTTAAATTTCACAGAATTTAATGCCCATCACCAAGTCATTTAACCTGGCAGCATCCCAATTCTCTAAATAATTCAACATTCTGGATTGTGATACAGATTAGTTTGTTCTCTAAAGAAGACAGCCTAGCCTAAAGACCTACACCGAAAGCCTGCAGAGTGTTAACTCCCATTTTTTAGAGATCTGAGGATTCTGAATAACAGCTGTAATTATTTTCAAACTCCATGAAAGTTTGAGATCATTCTGGAAATCATCATCATACATTGGCTGTATGCATAAAATGTTTTTGAGAGAAACAAACAAATGTGTATACTACTCAGGGAATACCAGGCAACACAAACACTCTTATGGTGACTGTCTGTTTCCTCACTATTTCCAATGTTGGTGGTAGGTACATGGAAATGAGTGGTTTTTATTGGTAAGCTTCAGGTGAAGTGTACGATTTTACAAAGATAAGTGCTAGCAAATTATCACAACCATTTCCTTAGAGAGAAATGTGAGCCCTGTTTAATTGAACAGCAGAAGAATTTTTTTCACACTTCAGAAATGACATTGAACTAGTTTTCTAACAAACTTGTTTTTATAGCTATAATAAAGATAATAGTAAGGAGAATCTATAAAAGTGATAAACATACATGATGGATTCGGTTAAAAAGTTATCTCCCAACTAATGGGTGATGTCACCCTGTATGCTGTGAATGTGTTGCTCTGATTGATTGATAAATAAAATGCTGATTGGCCAGTAGCCAGGCAGGAAGTATAGGTGAGACAAGCAGAGAAGAGAATTCTGGGAAGAAGAAGGCTGGGTCAGGAGTTGCCAGCCAGACACAGAGGAATCAAAATGTGAAGGAAGAACTAAGAAAAGGTACCAAGCCATATGGCTAAATATAAATAAGAATTATGGGTTAATTTAAGTGTAAGAGCCAGTCAGTAATAATCTTGGGCTAACGGCCATACAGTTTGTAAATAATATAAGCCTGTGTGTGTGTTTATTTGGGTCTGAGTGGCTGCAGACCAGCAGGTGAGAGAACATAGGAAAACTTCAGCTACACCGAACAGCATCCATCATTATTCTTTGTTATGCCTCCTCCTGGAAAAGTTCTCCAGTATGTGTATGCTTGGTCATCTACTCTCTGGAAACAGACCAAAGAATTAAAGCTCAACTCATTTAATTTGCCTTAAAAAACAGTACTTAAGATTTCCACCAACAGAGCACTATTTACTCACAGTAAAATGACCTGCTGTATTCAGTTCTGCAATGCTACTTCAGGTATTAGTTTCAACAAGATGGAAATCCAATGCATAGTATACAGTTCTTTAGAAAGACAAGTGGCTATAGAGTTAGGTGTATGTTGATGTTTTTGAAAGGCATGGAGAACATAAAATTTTAGGTACTGTGAGTAAGAGACCATACAATCTTCATACCTATGATACGATTATGGGATCTTTGGATTCCTTACTCGGGAATAGCACAAGTTTGGCACAGTGGTATCATGGCTCATAACAAAGGGGCCCACAGTAGGAAAACACATTGAAATGATGGCTGTGATGTTCACCAGCACCCAACCAGGATTATATATGAGAGAAATGCAACCTTGTAAGATGGAGGAAAGGGCATAAAAACCTAGAAAAGTGAACACAAGGACCAGGATGCTCTGGGTGGCTCTGGACTCGGGGGATGTTCTGGAGGAAACATGGGTACTACGGATATGTTGAACCTGCTGCTTGTGCCTGTACAGAATGACAACCATGGAGCTGCTGGACCAGATAATGAGGACAGAAAGCAAAACTTCAGGAAAAACAAAAAAAGCTGTATACAATAAGCCTGTGAGATTATCATGACCTACAGTGGTGCAGTATTTCATATCACTCTTAGGTGTCAGGTTTTTGCTGTTCCCCTGGGTATACGTATACACAGGGAAAATCATATTTACTGACATGTAGAGAATCCAGCAGAAGGAAGTGAAGAGGCCGATATGCTTTGGAGCTTTGACTTTAAGACCATTCCAACAGGAGTCACTCGGGCTGATGGTGATGGCCTGGAAGACACTCACGAGACAGGTAGTACCAATGGACATGCTCCTGCCAAGTCTTTGAATATACAAAAGAAGTTTGCAGCCAAAATCACTGAAGAATCCTTTCATCTCCAAAGCCCCTGTTGTCTCTAGCGTTCCTTTGGAAACAATGATCAAGGAGTTGGCTATGAACAGGTGTATGAGAATCAAATCTGTGGTCTTTAATGTATGTTCAATGTAGTAACGGATGAGGTAGCAGGAGAGAAGAGAGAAATTTCCCAGAATTCCAACTGTGCTCTGAAGTAAGAACACTATTCCTATTGCCAAATCCTTGAGATCCATTTTGTTATTTAGCACTTTTCCACCTAAATTATGGCAAACAATAAATTCTCTGATCAAAATGGTGACTTGAACATTTGTAGCTGTTTTATTGGTGGGAAAGAATTACGTATGTTCAAGATTACAAGGCTATTGTGGGTAACATAGCAAGATCCTGCCTCAGAAATACCTTGACAAAAATATTTTGTTACTGTTACTGCTGAAGTCTTTCAGAAACTCTTCCTAGAATGTCAGAATTAAGAGTATGACTGGTAGGGGCCTGACCTAGATCCTCTGCATAGATGTTATGGTTGAATAGCTTGGTGTTCTTGTGGGGTTCCTAACGATGGGAGCCAGGAGTGGTCGCTGACGTTTCTGCCTAATTATGGGACCCTTTTTCTCCTACTGAATTGCCTCTCCCAGCCTTGATGTGATTGTATTTATCTGTTCTTATTGTAGCATATTATGCTGTGTTTGGTTGATGGCCCTGGGAGGTCTACTCTTTTCTGAGGGGAGACAGAAGGGGCATGGATCTGGGTGAGAGGGGAGATGGGATGGAGAGACTGGGAGAAGGAGACAGGGAAAACTGCAGTCATGATGTAATACATGAGATAATAATAATAATAATAATAATAATAATAATAATAATAAAGAGTAGGGCCAAATTGCCCTGGGAGAAGCAACAACCAGTGAGTAGAGATGGAAAGGATGCTCACTTCTAAATTCTATAGAGAGTTGCTATTTATAAGTCATAACAGGGGATAAAGAGACTTTAATAAAACTCTTCAATATGAAAGAAATCCATAATTTTCTCATCTGAAATTTAAACCTAAAAAAATGACAACATTTCCCCACAACAATGTGAACATTTCTCTATTCTTACATAATATAATAATGTTTATTATGCAGTGAAAACAAACTAATCATGTAGTCACTAATGATAAAGTGACAGTTGACACTTTACCCAAAGAATTAGGTCTCATCAAATTTCGTAAAAAGATGCATTGCTGCTTGTTCACACAGGGAAATAACTGGGGAGAATAGAAACTCACTCAGGAAGTATTCTACGTGGAAAACTTACTAAGTAGACAACAGAAGGACCGTACATGAATCATTTCAACAGAAGTCTCTGAAAAATGAGCACTCTTAATAAGGAACAAACAAATGATGAATGACTGATTTTCTTACAAGATTCACTGTCTAATGTCATAGTGCAGTAGCAGATATGTAAAGTAAAAATGGTAGAAAACACCAGCTCTTTGTATGGATGTAGATACAGCAAGCATCTCATGCACAGATATTATGATCACATTGAAACAAGCATTTTGGAATGTGAGAAATTATGTATAACAAAAGATACACAAAACCACGTGTCAGTCATCCCACACTTGTGACTTGGCCTTCAAAGTTCACAATTCATATATATGTAAATTATGCCTTTTAACTTTAGACCTGCCACATGTCCTTTAAGAGTTTATATACATAGCTGATTTTCACATGGTGCTGTACTCTGCAGCAATGTAAATGAAAAACCAAGGTATTCACACAAAACAAATGCAAAGGAAAAGGAAAAGTTCATCCATTATGATGCCACTTAGGCAAAGCACAACACAGGTCAACAGCTTTCCAGTCTCTAATAGGTTAACATATGTCTATAAGCCATAATCCCTCCCCTCACCAAAAACCTAGCAGGACACTCTTATCATTGACATGATGTAGGATTGTATAAAGCTAATTGGTAATTTCATATTTCTATATCTTTGGTGAAGGATTTCACAAAGGGTCTCACTTTGTAATGCAAGCTGGACTGGAAATTTCTGCAATCCTCCTGCGTTAGCCTCTGGATTCCTGGGATGGAGTGTTAGATATTACATTGATTCTTAGATATTACACAGGAAAAATAATATTTGATACAACAATGTAGCCTAAAAAGTTATTACTAGGTTAGGGAAATGGCTCAGTTGGTAAAGTCCTTGCTTTGTATATGGGAGGGCCTAAATTGAGTCTCCACAAGTCATTAAAAAAAATCTGTGTGTAGTAGCACACACCCATCATCCAAGCACTGGAGTGGAGGTGTCAGGAAGATCCATAGGGCTCACTGACTAGCCAGCCTAGAATATTCAGAGAATTACAGCCCAGATGGCGACTTTGTCTAAAAAAATAGTGTAATGAAAATTTGTAAATGTAAAAAGTGTCTGAAGAGGAACAAACTAAGCTTGTCCTCTGACCACTCTCTCTCTCTCTCTCTCTCTCTCTCTCTCTCTCTCTGAGCCTGCTCCTGAACTCATGCATACCTGCCCATGGAAACACACACATGCACACATACACAGAGAAGAAACTAAATTATTATTATTACTAATTTATATTTAAATGCTTACATATACTAATCCCTTAAGTCAAACAATTGGTAATAGATCAAGATTTTGGAAAGAAACTAAACTACAAGATATTCATAGAATCTGAAGACTACTTTTGCAGTTTGTGTTTTTCCAACTTCTGAATCCCTTTTCCAGATATGGGCATGTACACAGATTTCATTTCTTATGTGTTCTTTTTTCCCCCAAACTAAATACAAACTGCTCACCTGGCTCCTTCTCAGTGCAGAACCTCCTGTTCAGTGTACACCTTGTGGCATCCTGAAATCCAGCACCATTGCGATGGAGACATTATCCACTGTGAGATAAAGGTCTGTGGCTGTGACCTCACCTCCCTTCTGAACTGCAGCTTTCACTTCTGCACGACAATGACAGTTCTCGCTTTGGGAGTCAAGAACTTTTTCAGAACTTTTTTTCATAGCTAATTACCAAAGCTGTTTGTGAGTTTCCTGTGAGTGTCTCCAAAGAGACAGTGTTTGGAGAGGCTCTTACATTCTCATGATCTCTGAAAAATGACAGTGACCCAAGATCCAGAGAATATCAAGTTCTTGTGTGCTGGAGTCTTGCAGAGGGGTATATGTGTCTCATTGGGCTCCAGTAAATCTAGATTCTTCTAAAAAGGGACGTTGATTATAAATTATCAGGTGCTGCCCAGTGTTCACACACTGTGCAGAACACCGTCAACTGGAGCTTCAGAGATATCTACTGAAGTGTCTGTAGGAAGAAAAACACAATGTCGGCCGGGCGGTGGTGGCGCACGCTTTAATCCCAGCACTCGGGAGGCAGAGGCAGGCGGATCTCTGTGAGTTTGAGGCCAGCCTGGGCTACAGAGTGAGTTCCAGGACAGACTCCAAAGCTATACAGAGAAACCCTATCTCAAAAAACCAAAAAAAAAAAAAAAAAGAAAAGAAAAAGCAAAACACAATGTCATTTATCATCTGCTCTAGGAATCTTTGCAATCTATGTCATACTGCTCACAAATTAATTGGAATGATGATATGGAAATATGCTTCAAAGATTTACAAATATCACCCCACTATTTCATGAACCCTAAACAGCCCTGCTCATTAAAGAATTTATATCCAATTATCTTTCACAAATGAATTCAATGTGTTCATTAAATATTCCACAAGCCGAGGTTATCTTTGCAGTATAGGGGCCTGCATGGGACTGACTTAGGGTCTCTGCCTGTGTGTGACAGTTGTGTAGCTTGGACTGTCTGTGAGGCTCCTAGCAGTGAGATCAGGACCTGTCCCTGTTGTGCTTAGCTGGCTTTTGGGAACCTGCTCCCCATGCTGGATTACCTTGCCTAGCCTTGATGCAAGGGGGAGGAGCTTGGCACTGCTTCAATTTGATGTGCCTTACTTTGTTCAAGCCTATTGGAGGCCTACCCCTTTCAGAACGGTGACTGAGGAGGAGTAGATGGGGAGTAGGATAGATAGGAGGTGGGGGGAAGGAATGGGAGGAGGGATGGAAACCCGTGGTTGGCACGTAAAATAAATGAAAAAAATTAATTAAAAACAGGTTTAATTATAAAAAATGGCATTGAGTGGAAACTGGAATAATCCATCATTTTTTTGCTTATTTGTAAATTGTGGAGTCTTAATCTTTTGTAATTAGGAAGAAACAGAAAAAGTAGGGCCTTACCATTTGCTGTCTGGCCAGTAAGTGTCCTTCTTTGAAGATTTTAGGAGAGCAGAGATACAGATCTATACAGTCCACAGCAGACATCATTACTTCTGACCGACAAGTAAGCCTTCAGTTCCCAGAACTCTCTGAGTTTCAGTAATTCACTTCAATAAAGTATAAACCTAGAAAACTGTTCTGCTCTAAGGTCAAGGTTTATTAAGGTAGAAAATTGCTGGTTTGAATGAGAAGTGTCCCGTACTGCCTCAGGAATTTGAACACTTGGTGCCCTGCTCTCTCTACCTTTCATAGAGGATTGGATGGTACAATCTTTAGGGGAGAAAATGCTTCACTTCAGAGGACTTTCATATCAAAATCTTGTGCATGTCCAGTTGGCTCTCTCTGATTCCTGTTGTTTTTGAGGATGTGATTACTCTGCATCCTGCTCCTGCTGCCTTGCTTGCTGCTTGTTGCTGTGTCTCCCTGCTATGAGGAGCAGGCATATGCATACAAATGCCCATAAACGTTTCCTCTCTAAGTCGTTTTAGTTATGGTGTTGCCATAGCAATAGAAAAGCAACTAATATGCAAATTGTTACCAGATAGTGGAATGTTGCTGTGGAACTCCTCACTGTGTTGCTTGTTGGAGGAATGTGGAAGAGCTTGAAACTTTGGATTAGGAAAGCAGTTTTGAAGGCGGGAGGGTGGTGGTGGTGGTGGGGGTGGTGGTGGGGGGAGGTGGAGGGATAGGGGCCTTTGGTCCTACCTCAACTTGATAAGCCAGGCTTTGTTGACTCTCCATGGGAGGCCTTATCCTTTCTGAGGAGTGGATGTGGGGAGGGGTAGAAAAGAGGGAGGAGGTGAGGCAATGGGAGGAGAGGGGGTAGAGGAAACTGCTTGCTATGTAAAATAAAATACAAAGAAAAAAGAGGAAAAGTAGCTGAGTGCTGTGAGCAGCGTGCCACAGTCCATTCTACTTGGAACCTGGGGAACTGTAGGGTGTTAGGCCCAGATTGTGGGGACCCCCAAAAGA